GACATATATGATAAACAAGGAGAAAATGAAGAAAACCAACATAGAAAACTACCTAATCAAATTTGAAGCCCAATATACATGGGACAAGAAACAAAGGATATGCAGAAGAACCAGAAAACGTGCAATAAGATGGCAGTATTAAGCCTTCATATATCAACAATCACTCTAAATGTAAATGGACTGAATTCTGCAATCAAAAGAAACAGAGTGGCAGGATTAAATGAAAAACTAGACTAGATGAACTTAATAGATATAGAGAGAGGCTCTATCCAAAAACAGCAGAGTATACATTGTTCTCAAGTGCACATAGAACATTCTCAAGGATAGACCATTTATTGGGAAACAAGGCAAACCTCAATAAATTTAAGAAGATTGAAATCATATCTACTATCTTCTCTGACCATAATGCTATGAAACTAGAAATCAACTACAAGAGAAAAGGAGGGAAAGGAACAAAAATGTGGAGACTAAACAACATGCTGCTGAACAACCAATGGGTCATTGAAAAAATAAAAGGAGAAATAAAAAAAATATTTGGAGACAAATGATAATGAAAACATACCATACCAACTCATATAGGATGCAATGAAAGTGGTCCTAAGAGGGCAATTTATAGCAATATAAGCCCATATTAACAAACAAGAAAAAGCTCAAATAAACAATCTTAAACTTCACCTAACAGAATCAGAAAAAGAAGAACAAACAAAGCCCAAACTCAGTAAAAGCAGCAAAATAATAAAAATTAGAGAAGAAATAAATGAAATTGAAACAAGAAAGACTATAAAAAGAATCAATTAAACAAGGAGCTGGTCCTTTGAGAAGAGAAACAAAATTGACAAACCCTTAGCCAGACTCACTAAGAAAAAAAGAGAGAAGGCTCAAATAAATAAAATTAGAAATGAAAGAGGAGAAATTACAATGGATACCACAGAAATACAAAAGATTATGAGAATATTATGAAAAACTATTTGCCAACAAACTGGACACTTTAGAAGAAATGGATAAATTCTTAGACTTGTACAACCTCCCAAGACTGAATCAAGAAGACACAGAGAATCTGAATAGACAAATCACAAGTAAAGAGATTGAAACAGTAATCAAAAACCTCCCCCAAAATAAAAGTCCAGGACCAGATGGCTTATCAGGAGAATTCTGTCAAACATTCAAAGAAGAATTATTACCCATTCTTCTCAAACTATTCTAAAGAATTGAGGAAGTTGGAAATATTCCTAACACATTCTACGAGGCTAACATCACCCTGATACCAAAGCCAGACAAGGACAACACAAAGAAGGAAAATTACAGGCCAATATCACTGATGAACATAGATGCAAAAATCCTGAACAAAATATTGGCAAACTGAAGACAGCAATACATTAAAAAGATCATACACCATGATCAAGTGGGATTCATACCAGGGACACAAGGATGGTTCAACATCTGCAAATCAATCAACCTGATACACCACATTAACAAAATGAGGAACAAAAACCACATGATAATCTCCATAGATGCAGGGAAAGCATTTGAGAAGATCCAACATCCATTCATGATAAAAACTCTCAATAAAATGGATATAGAAGGAAAGTACCTCAACATGATAAAAGCCATCTATGACAAACCCACAGCCAACATCATACTCAATGGGGAAAAAGTGAAAGCCATCCCTCTGAGAAGAGGAACAAGACAAGGGTGCCCACTCTCACCACTCTTATTCAACATAGTACTAGAAGTTTTGGCCAGAGCAATCAGGCAAGAAAAAGAAATAAAAGGAATCCAAATAGGATCTGAAGAAGTGAAGCTCTTGCTGTTTGCAGATGACATGATTTTATATATAGAAAACCCTAAAGAATTCATCAGAAAACTATTAGAAATAATCAACAACTACAGCAAAATTGCAAGGTACAAAGTCAACTTACAAAAATCAGTAGCATTTCTATACTCAAATAATGAACTAACAGAACAAGAACTCAAGAATACCATTCCATTTACAATCACAACAAAAAAGAATAAAACACCTAGGAATAAATTTAACCATGGAGATGAAAGCCCTATAAAAAGAAAACTATAAGATATTACCGAAAGAAATCAAATAGAGATAAAGAAATTGAAATATGTTCCATGCCCATGGATTGGAAGAATAAATATAGTTAAAATGTCCATACTGCCTAAAGCAATCTACAGATTCAATGCAATCCCAATCAGAATCCCCATGACATTCTCCAAAGAAATACAACAAAGAATCTTAAAATTTATATGCAGCAACAAAAGACCCCAATAGACAAAGCAATCCTGAAAAACAAGAACAAAGCTGGTGGCATGGCAATCCCTGACTTCAAAATATATTACAAAGCTATAGTAATCAAAACAGCATGGTGCTGGTATGAGAACAGACACACAGATCAATGGAACAGAATTGAAAGCCCAGAAATAAAACCACACATCTATGGACAGCTAATCTTTGACAAAGAAGCCAAGAACATACAATGGAGAAAGGAAAGCCTCTTCAATAAATGGTGCTGGGAAAACTGGACAGCCACAGGCAAAAAAATGAAAGTAGACCATTATCTTTCCCCATGCACAAAAATAGACTCAAAATGGACCAAAGACTTGAAGGTAAGACCTGAAACCATAAAACCACTGGAAGAAAATATAGGCAGTACGCTCTTTGACATCAGACTTAAAAGGATCTTTTTGAATAGCATGTCTACTCAGACAAGGGAAACAAAAGAAAAAATAAACAAGTGAGACGTCATCAGACTAAAGAGCTTCTGGAAGGCAAAGGAAACCAAGATCAAAATGAAAAAACAACCCACCAACTGGGAGAAAATATTTGCAAATCATATATCCGATAAGGGGTTAATCTCCATAATATATAAAGAGCTTACACAAATGAACTACAAAAAACCCAAACAACTCAGTCAAAAAGTGGGCAGAAGATGTGAACAAAAATTTTTCCAAAGAAGATGTATAGATGGCCAATAGGCACATGAAAAGATGCTCAACATCACTAATCATCAGGAAAATGCAAATGAAAACTACACTTAGATACCATCTTACACCCATTAGAATGGCTATAATCACTAAGACAAAAAACAACAAATGTTGGAGAGGTTGTGGAGAAAAGGGAACACTCATCCACTGCTGGTGGGAATGCAAACTGGTCCAGTCACTGTGGAAAACAGTATGGATATTTCTCAAAAAATTAAAAGTAGAGATACCATATGATCCAGCTATCTCAGTACTAGGTGTTTACCCAAAGAACTTGAAATCAACAATTCAAAGAGACTTACGCACTCCTATGTTCATTGCAGCATTATTCACAATAGCCAAGACGTGGAAGCAACCCAAGTGCCCATTGACAGATGATTGGATAACGAAGATGTGGTTTATATATACAATGGAATACTACTCAGCCATAAACAAGATGAAATCATCCCATTCACAACCAGATGGATGAACCTTGAGGGCATCATGTTAAGTGAAATAAGTCAGACAGAGAAAGACAAACACCATATGACTTCACTCATATGTGGAATATAAACAAACTTACGGACAAAGAGAATAAATTCGTAGTTACTAGGGGAAGGGGGTGGAGTGTGGGCACAAGGGGTGAAGGGGCATACTTATATGTTATATGACAAATAGTAATGTACAACTGAAATCTCATTATGTTGTAAGCTATTATGACCACAATTTAAAAAAAGAATAAAATACTTAGGCATAAATTTAGCCAAGGGGGCACAAGACATATACAGTGAAAACTATAAAACCTTGCTTAAAAAAATTAAAGCAGCCCTAAATAAATACAAAAACATCCGTATTCATGGATTGGAAGACTATATATATATGTGTGTGTGTGTGTGTGTGTGTGTGTGTGTATTTATATATTTTGTTGAGGAAGATTAGCCCTGAGCTAACATCTGCTGCCAACCCTCCTCTTTTTGCTGAGGAAGACTGGCCCTGAGCTAACATCCGTGCCCATCTTCCAGTACTTTATATGTGGGACGCCTGCCACAGCATGGCTTGACAAGTGGTGCACAGGTCTGTACCCGGGATCTGAGCCGTGAACACTAGGCCAGCGAAGCAGAATGTGTGAACTTAACCGCTGTGCTACTGGGCTGGCCCTGAAGACTTAATATTTTTAACATGAAAATACTGCCCCAAATGATATATGAATTCAATGCAATCCCTATCAAAATTCCAATAGTATTTTTTGCAGAAATGGAAAAACGATCCTAAAATTCATATGGAATTTCGAGGAATTCAGAATAACCAAACAATCTTGAAAAGAACAAAGTCGACATTTCTAGTGAGAATGTAAAATGGTGCAACTGGTTTGGAAAACAGTTTGTCAGTTCCTCAGATTAAATATAGAGGTGATGTAGACATAGCAATCCCACTCCTAGGTATATACCCAAAAGAACTGAAAACATATGGTCCAAACAAACTTGTACATGAATATTCATAGCAGCATTCTCCATAGTATCCCAAAGTAGGAACAACCCAAATGGCTATCAACTGATGAATGAATAAACAAAATATAGGTTAGTCATAAAATAAAATAATTCAGGCAGAAAAAGAATAAAGTACTGATACACGCCAAGACATGGATGAACCTTGAAAACATTGTGCTAAGTGAAGTAGCCAGACACTAAAGGCCACATGCTGTATGATTCCATTTAGAATAAACGTCTCTAATAGGCAAATCCGTACGGAAAGAAATTAGATAAGTGATGGCCAAGGGCTGGGAGAAGGTAAGGAACAGGGAGTGACTGCCAACAGGTACTTTAGGCTTGCTTTTTTGAGGTAATAAAAATACTCAGGAATTAGATAGTGGTGATGGTTTCACAACCTTGTAAATAGACTTATGGTCACTGAATTATACTCAAAATGGTGAATTTTATGATGTCTGAATTATTCTGTCATCATCATCATCATCATCATCATCATCATCACAATAATATTAATAAAGCAATGTGTCTTGCACATTTCCATACCTTGTATTTTCATTAAGCAACGTGTCTCAAATTAACAGCCAGTGGCCAGAACAGGATGCTGTTAGCCTGTTGTGAAGAAATATATCAGATGAAAACATTAAATTCAGGAAGTTTTCGGTAGAATTGAGGTACAGGCAAAGGAAGCACCTCCTTGGAAAGACCTGACACAGAGTGAATTGGAAAATGTGGGAAGGGGGTTTGGGGTAGAGGGGGACCCTGACACCTGGCGCCAGCACTTAGAGCGAGGGACCTTGTGTTAGTTACACAACCTCTCTGTGCCTTGGTTTCTTCATCTGCAAACCAGGGAATGGTAACGCTTTCCTCACAAGTCAGTTGTGAAGATTAGAAGTAATAATATATATGAAATAATCAGGCACAAACCCTTAAGGAAGATTGATGATATCAACGGGTCCCCAAATTGACTTCACATTTGAGTAACAGATTCCAGGCCCCCTCTAAGCCCACAGAATCAGAATTGCTACAAATGAGGATTATGAACTTGAATTTGTATTAACTCTCCCAGCTGATTCTAATAATGACCCACCTGGGGTTAGGAAACACTGAGCTATATAACTTTTACCCAAAACACAAAAATAGGACAAAGCAGAACAAGCAGCATATTTTCCATCTAGTCTCTAAAGCAGAGGAGAAACTGTTGGTGGACCCCAGAATTGAAGGGGACCTAGCCCATCTGACCCCATTTTAACCTTATCCCAGTTCAGCAGAGAGGCAAGCCATTGGGGACATATGCCTGAGAAGCTGACAGCCCACCTTGAAAACAGTGAGAGCCCTAACTTCAAATTCAAGCTTGCTTTGAATGGAAGTTAAATTTAACCTTTTTGTTCATTGATGGGACCAGTCTTCTCCAAACCTCTTATCTTATAAAAGTAAATCATATTGCTAAATTCAAACTTCAACAGAGATGTTTAAGTAAGAAAATCTTCTAAATATTCTAGCCACTTGACAGGAAACCAGAAAGTTAGCAAGCCCGTTCAAGTTCAGGAGAGTTCAGCCCAGTAGATTACAGTCACTGAGACATGACTCCTGACTCAAAGGGACGTTATCCTTTCCTGTCATTTGACGTCATGCCAACTTCAATGAGGTGGGAAAGCAGCTACCCATTCACAAATATGGGTCACTCTTGACTCCAGACTGTAACGGACGACCTAACCCATCACCTCCAGAAGAGCCCAGCCACCACGTCTGCTCTTGGACAGTGTGTGGAGATGGTTTCGTAGCACAACGTAGGGCTCTAGAAGCAAAGCCAGGTCACAGAGAGAAAGAGCAGCAATAAATATGACAAAGGCAGGATGAAGATAAAACAGGTTTCTCTTACTGTTGCAAAACACACAGTAATCACCTACTGGCTCTTGTGAATAAAAAGTGTTTTTCCTATTTTAATTTGGCCAAATAAATTGTTTAATGTTTCTCTTCTTCAGACTTCTTACTTTTTATTTATGGACAATAATATTACCTCAAATGATTATGATGAAAATAAAATGCCATAATATGTGTGTAGTGCTTAGCAAAATGCCTGGCACAATATCACTCAATGAACTGGTACTTTTATTATGATATTTTAATTAGCACTGCAAAAAACTCATCCCTGAGTGACTTCAAGCAAGTCATGTTACTTTTGTGAGGCTTCAGTTTCATCATTCTTCTTTCTTTTCTTTTTTTTTTTTCTGAGGAAGATTTGCCCTGAACTAACATCTGTGCCAACCTCCTTCTATTTTGGGTGAGGGTCGCTGCCAATGAGTGGTACAGGTCCGTGCCTGGGAAGTGAAGCTGGGCTGCCGAAGTGGAGCCTGCCGAACTACCACTACGCCACAGGGCTGGCCCCCTTATTATTTTTAAAGTGAAGGAATTTGACAAATTTTTCTTTCTCCCACAGAATATCAGGTCCCACAGACACCAGAAAATAAATTTCTTTAAAGCTTTTGATGGATCTCACATACCAATATCATTACACAGTGCCGCAGGAGGATGGCATGGGAAGGGGAGAAGATAAGCTTCAAAAGTTGTTGATGCAGTCCTCTGTCCTTTACCTTAACTGAAATGCTCAGTGGTACAGGGTCACACCTGTTGCTCCCTCAACTCAGGCAAGTCCAGCAGCTAAACTGGAGACCAGTGCTAGAGCGGTCTCCCAAGTCTCAGACTCATAAGACCTGGGTGGGAATGGATGCCAAAAAAGTGAGAGGGGGTTCAGGGCATCACTTTCTCCTGCCTGCCTGACCCTCTCTTCTCAACCTCAGCTTCTATGTCTCCAAACCCCACTGCACACATACGCTGTGGATCATCAACCGTCCCTGACCCATGAGCTTGAACGTACCATGTTCTGTTAGAGGAGTACAGCCACAGGTCAATGGCATCAGAGAGATCTATCAAGCAATGTTCCATATAAACTGCTCTCGATCCTGTCTGTTCAACATGTCGGTGGACTGAATAAACATAAAGAAATATCATCAGGTTTGCAAGTCTTTCCAAAATAGATGGCTACTACATATATTCAAGAATATATATATATAAAATTTTGACAGCTTGGAAAGAGCTCTTGTGGGACTAGAATGATATCCATAATTGACAAGTATGAAATGTACTGTTTAGTGACATTTAAAAAAACAACCCACACATAGAGGAGTTTAGGAAGTAGAGATGTCACACTTGACTTGTTTAATGAAATGCCAACATGCTGTCCCAGTGAGGGATAAGAAGCCAATGTAACACAAGGATGGAGGAAGAAGCACATTGGGAGAGTCAGGATAGAAAACATTTTTTAAAAAATAATTATTCATTCACTTAGTATTATACTCTGCTTTTTGTCCTACGCTTTTTAATGGATATAGAAACAAGTGGGAAGACCCAGAGAAGAACATTACGAGAGTCTAAAAGTTTGACATCTTTCACGAGTGTAAAAGCCTTGAGATCTGTTTTAATTTAAAGAGAAGGTAGGGTGACTTCATGACAACCCTTAAGAAAATAACGCTTCCTGGGAAATTATTTCTGCCTTGATGTTTTTGTATACGCGCAAGAATGAACAGTGAGAATTATTATTAGATACATTTTGGAAAGAGATAGATCAGTGGTATCAGCACAAGGGCAGACAACTACTCAGAGTGGCTGCTGAGGGGTAATCACCTTCGGAAGAGACCAGGCAGCCTTGTGTATCAGCCTGGCCTAGGCAACAGGAAGGCATGGGCTCCTAAGATTCCTTGACACCCCCCACCTTCCAATTCTGTTATTGCAACTCCAGACTATTAACTGGAACACCGGGTCCTCTCTCCATTACTCCTGTCTGACTCTGAGCTACAGGCAGTGCCTTCAGCTCTGAGCTCTGGCATCTTGACCCTTGTTTTTGCAGTTATGGACTGTCAAGTATTGTGAGGTATTGATCAAGTCGTTCCCAACAGTAAGTTAAGAATTCCTGCATCATCACTCCTCTGGCTGATGACAGCTATTTTATTACACTTGTTTTTAACCTGTTACATGTTTGGATTTCTCTACCCAGTCACTGGTTCTACCTCTTCTGCCACATGTCACCATGGCAGTATGTCTTAGTGCTTTGCCTGATCTGAGAGCAGAAATGACCACCCATGAAATCAATCAGGAATTGCCTCCCCAGCTGGCAAAAAGCAAGTAGGACTTCCAAGACCTCATGGAGAAATTCCTTGTATCCTAAGCTACTGCCTACTCCCTGGCCACCAAGCTGCAGAAATACACTAAGTCCTACAGGGTCATGGCCACCAAAGGGATAAATGATCACTGCCATCCCTCTAAGGAACTGAAAACTCTCCAGACTTGATCTTCTATTCCCCTTGTCAAAATAAATTTCATTCTGACCACAATCCAGGAAAGGTAGAAGTGGGTATTTTACCCTCAGTTTTCTGGAGATAGAGAAACTAAGGCACAAAGAGTTTAGCAACGTTTCCAGGTTTGCAGTGAGGTGTAGGGTGTGATTAGAGTTAAAGTCCCAGATGTTGATTCCTGGTGCTGCCACACAACTGCCTGTTCCTCTCAGGAAAGGGCTAAACTGTTTCTCTCAGCATCCTCTCTGTACTGTGTCAGATCCTGTGTCGCTATTGGCCTCAGTGTCTGGGACTAGTGAACTCCATCAATTCAAGCTTCTCTGAGGTCCCATTGGTAAAGCCCTGTGCTAGTCACACTGAGGAAATGGGATGATAGTCCACACTGGGGAAAACAGGTGATAGTACCTGCTTTGAAGGAGCTTAAGGATGAGTCTGCTCCTCACTTAAACTGTGGTATCCATGAGTGACAGCATTAAGACAGGGAATACCCTGGTGAGAGGGAAGCCTTGCTTCCAGGACACAAACTCTTCTTCCTGAGTCCAAGGAAGCCATTTGACATCTGTGGTGAGGTTGAGGGTGTTTCTGTGGAAATTAGAGATCCTGTACAATGCCGTCTGTCTCTCTCTTAGCTGGTGAACCTTTGGGGATACAGGATGCTGGCTTCAGGGCCAGTAGGTCAAGGTGACCCTGGGAGTCTGGGCTATGAGACAAGGCCAAAGTGAAAATGAGGATAAGTCGGGGAGACTACCAGCCCCAGGAAAATCCCAAGCCAGTGTGTGTGGCACGTCCTTCCCTTTCACAGTCAGCCTCACAATTGGAGCTTGATTGCCTGTTCAGTAAGAGGATGCTGTGGTGACGAATCGTGAGAATGGAGGCACATGCACAATAGAGTGATTAAAAGGAGTCTTGACGACTCGGAGCCTGAATTTGTGTCATTTTCTTATGATTGTTTTACAATGAGCCATGGTGGTGGTGGTGGTGAGGGGTGGTAATTAAAAACGACTGACACAGAGAAGAGTAAAAATTGAAGAATACCATTTAAGAAAATGAAGAGATGAGCTTTCAGGAAAGGACAAACTAAGTTTTATTTAAATCTTTCCTTGTAATCATAGCATAAATGTAGGAAACGAATTTTGGAAATGATGAAGAAGAAAGATACCACTTAAGACCTTGGTGTCGAGGTAACGTGGCGCAGTGGTGAAGAGCATGGACTCTGGGCCGGTCTTCCTGGGCTCAGATCCAAGTTGTGTGTCTTTCTGTGCCCCAGTGTCCTCCTTTGCTAAGGTGGTGCTCTCATAGTACCTACTTCTTTGAGTTTTTGCAATGAATCACATGAGTTATTTCTGTAAAGCTCCTAGAACAGTTGCTGGCACAGAGTAAACAATATTTATTAGTTCCTCCTTCCACTGCTTTTAATTTAACACAAACTTTATTAGTATCTGTGCATATTCCCTTCAGGAATTTGGGGTCTAATGCATTATATTTTACAGAATTGATCCACATCCAATTTTTTATCTTTGATGTACTTGACCTTGGATTTCTGAGCTCAAGGGAACCAACAGTCGGTATAGTCCACAGGACCTTCCCAAGCACACAGGCAATCGCTACTCCATGTGCCTGCTTAGCGTTCACTTAAGAGGCTGCAAGGCTTGGTAAAATTTTCCTTGACTTGGGGTCAGTCTCAGGGAATATGAACTCTGACCTGGCCAAATACGAGTTAATCTGTCTAGTTACTTTCTGTGCCTTAGAGCTTCTCTTTCCTCAGCTTTAAAATGGGAAGTAACTCAATGCCGTTAGTAGTTGGGAGGCTGAGGAATAAGATAGGGAAATCCCAGCGTAGAGCCTGGTACTGGGGTTATGTCTGTCCTGGGGATGGACCCTACCTCCTCCCTGGAAGGCAGTGACCACAGCAGCATGGCCAGCTTTCCACTGAGGCAGGGCTCTCTGTCTTTTCTCAGAGTGTGGAGAGTGCAAAGACATCATTGAATCCATGCTGGGGGACAAGCTAAATTTTGAGGAGGGAAGCTGGCAGAGCAGTCAATCCTGGCTGAGAAGCTCAGGTAAGGAGGGCTAAGTGGGAGGAGGCTGGCAGGAAGGTGTAGGAATCTCTGAAGTAGGGCGAGGAGCAACTTTGGGCCAGGAGAAGGCAGAAATGTACATGGCAGGCACATGCGCACAAATATTTATAAAACAATTAGAGAAAAGTAATTGGAAAATTATGGACTCCATTTATTCAGAGGATCACTCATTCTTTTTCAGAAATATAAATTATTAAGCTGAAATTCACATAACATGAAACTCACCAATTCAAGTGAAGAATTCAGTGGCATTTGGTACATTCACAGTGTTGCACCATCATCACTTCATTTGCCTTTAATCACAATCACCTCCTGACTCTCTACAGTTTGTCATTTTTTCCTTCAGAAGAATGCTGTCTCCTTGACCCTGTCATTCTCGTGTTCTTTCCAGCATTCTTGAAAATCTTTAGAATCTATCACTCATCCCTTTGGACTCTCAAATTTTCTCTTCTGTCCCACCTTAGGGAATACAATATCCTAATTCAAGATCAGGAGCAGCAGCTGACTCATTTATAGCACAAGTTACAGGAAGGGAGAGAAGTGTGAGCCCTGCTCAATCAGCACCTCAGCGACCTCCTCACACGCGATGACCCTGACCACCACCAGGGGCAGGGCTTCCCAGAACAACTGGCTGAGGGATGCAGACTGGCCAAGTGCCTTGGTAAGGTGGCCACAGGCCCTGAGTGCACTGAGCTGCTCTCCAAGGTGCCTGGCTCATGAGACATTCCACACCTCCCCTCAAAATATTTTGGCAAACTGTCCTGGTTTGCACTCGCACTTGGGGCCATGATAGGAACAGGACTGGCAAGGTGGGAGCGGAGAGGAGAAATATACAGGGTGGAGCTCATAGTGGTCCAAGTGTCTACTTCCTTCCTGAGGGACTGTGACCTTTAGGGCAGGAGGCAATATCTGCCTACTGTTAGAGGACAGAAAGGAGCACATGACAGGAGGCAGCTTATTAGAGCGAAAAGAGCCCTGGACTAAACATGGACTTTCCCAGCCTCCAGCCCGAGTGCTGACTTTACTGACAGTGGGCAAGAGATTGATTTTTCCTTCTTCCATATCGATCTCCTCACCTGTAAAATGGATCCAATAATCCATTCATGGTAGCTGTAGTCATCAAATGTGGTAATATTTATGAATGTGCTTCAGAAAAAAGAAAGGCCCTCACTGTGTGCAGTTGGACAAGTTGGTAGTGGGAAAGTTGTTAGACTAGAGAACTTTCCACAGAAAGAATTTCCCTTGATGACATACAGAAGCCAATTTGGAGGGTCCATGAAATCCCCAGATGAGGGATGTGGACCACGGTTGTTTTTCCTCTCCTTAGAGAAAGAAGGCGATTCTATGTGAGAGCTGTGAAGGGACATAGAGTCTGTACCTTTGGCAGGATTTGTGACAGAATGGAGGACACAGTAGAAGTGTCAAGATGAAGGCTGGACATGTATCCAGTGAAATGAGAAAAAAAGACAGTTTAAACTTTTGCCCAGTTTCAGGCAGAGCATGCCATGATGGTGATCCACCAGATCAGAGACGCACTGCCTGATGGATCAGAAATCC